AAAATTACCAACAAATTTAATTAACGAATTGCAAAATATAAGAAAAGAACGATTAAATCAATTACAACTTGAGCAATATGAATACTATACTAATTTGATTAATGAAACTGAGAATATTCCAACTTTAAACAAATTATCTGAAACGATTTATACTGTTGATAAAGTTTTAACCTCTATACAAGTTTCAAATTTGTTGAGAATTATAGTTGATAAAATTTTTAGAATCAACCAAAAACAAGAATATGATTCAATAAAAGAAGGAATAATCAATGAAAAAGATTCGACAAAATTAGAAGTTGATTGGAGAGATGTGGTTGATAATGCTAAATATCTTAACAATGAACAGAAAAATAAATTGCAAAATTTGGTAACCAACCAAAAATGGGAAATTCGCGGATTAAAGAAATTTGAACAATATAAAACAGATATTCAAAATGAACCATTTTTTTCAAATTTATTAGATGGAAAATTATTTGATACATTGATAAAAAATGATGGGTTATTAACAGATCGACAAAAAAATGAACTTAATGAATTAAGAAGACCAGCGATTCAAAAATTAATGATTAAAATTTTTGATGAACTTAAAGATAATATAAAAAATGAACGAGTTATTAGTAAATTAAACGATAAAGGTTATTATGATGAAAGAATTGGTGAAATTCGAGAAGAATTTTTAACAAACAGAAAAAAAGATGATTTACATATTTTAAGAAGATGGAAATTAGACGTAATTCAAAGTGAAACTGAGGATGAATTATTTGATATCAATTTAGAATTAATTGAAAATATTCAAGATTTAAAAGAATTAGATGATAATTCTGATATTGCTCAAGATATTAAAAATTTTAATCAAACATTGTTAACTGGTAATAGGAATATTCAAGATTTAATCGAAAAAAGAAAACAATATTATAATAATGGTGTATATGATAATTTTATTGCATCAATTAATATTGAAACAAATGTTGAAGAATTACAAAATAATTGGAAAACAAAAATAGAAACTGAAATTGACAAGAAATACCTTTCCCAACCCAAATCAATTGAATTTTTGAATAGTTTACGGGAACAACGAATTGAAGAATTAAGAAGACCATCTGCAAAAAGACCTTTTGAAGAAGATTTATCACCTACTAGATTGCTCGATAATGTAAAACCTAAAAGAAGTATGGGAGGAAATATAAATACACAAGTTTCGTGGATTGTTGAAGAATATAGAAAAACTTTAAATAAAGATGACAGAAAAAAACTCGTGCCAAAAAGTACAATAGAACATATTAAAGATTTGATAAAAGAATCTAGTTCAAAAAGTAAAGATAGTAAAACTTTATTAGATGTTTTCTATTATATTTGGGTTTTAGGAAAAGATGAAAAATATTTATTGGATCAAAAATATACTTCAAAAAAAATCGAAGAAGCAAAAACAATATCAACAGATATTAATAATTATCTTTGGAGGATAGTAAAAAAAAAAATCAAAACAGAACGAAATAGATTGGAGAAGGATCCAAACTACAGAAATCTAACAAAATATCCATTTCTTGTAATGCCAGGAAAATTTTCACTCTCTAATCCTTTAGGATTTCCAGAAGAAAAAATTGATAATGTTATAAATATAAATCAAATAATGATTCAATATAAAGAATCGTTGCTTGATAAATTTTCAATAACTCCTGAAAATTTAGATATAATTCATAAAACTTTACTCGAAAAAATGAACAAATTAAGTGATGATAAAGTTAAAAAAGAATATTTAAGTAAAGTTTTTAAAATGTTAGTAACAAGAGAATTAAATAGTATTGAGGATGATGATGATATTAATGATATATTTGATTCGTTTAATTTTTTATTTTAATTTATACTTATACATATTAAATTTGTTTTAGTGATATAATTTAAATAACCAATAAAAAATATCAATACAGATAAATTATAAATAAATAATTCATAAATTCTAAATAATCTATTTGCACGTAAAAAATCAATTGTGAGAGCGTAATATTCTGAATAATTACAAAGAGTATTTTTAATTTTTTTTTTTAAAACTTTTTTAATGTAACTGAATATTAAATTTTGATCAATTGTAAATTGTAAAGATTCTGGTAAAAAAAGATAAATGTAATCGAGAAATTTATCAACATAATTTTCAAATTTTTTTTTTGATTCTTCGAAACATAAATATTTATAATATTCAATAATTTCAAATAATGAATTTATATTATCATTTCTATCTTTAGAAATATCAAATAAC